GTCCCTCTCTAGGCCACGGAGAGCATGCAGATGAGAGCAGGCACCAAAGGACCCCAGCGCCCCCACCAGCCCGCCCTGCCCGGGCTTCCACCACTCACCCTCAGGGGCTTTGTCCACCGTGAACCAGAGCTTGAAGCGCGCGGAATGTTCGTTCCTCAGTTCCTCCAGCTCCGGCCGCAGCAGGATGTCCTTCTCGGTCTGTGGGGGGACAAGTCCGGGGTCAGGAGGATGGCGGCAGGGACTGCCCTTGGAGACACTCATCGCCCAACGGCTCGTCGTCGCCCACCCATGGGCACACGCTGGCACAGCTCCAGGAGAGCATGTGGCACAGCCCGCCAGACTCCTAGACACATCGCCCCCTCCTCTCGCACAGGCGGGTCACGCTGCAGGTGGAGATGCTCATGGCAGGTGCAGCCGCAGGCGGGTTTGAACGCTGTGGGGAGATGCGCGCGGCATAGTGGGAGTGGAGAGAGTGGGGAGCAGCACAGCAGGCGGAGCGCTCAACGACCGGACAGAGGGAAGACTGGGAGGAAACGGCCAACACCCTGATCCTGACGGCCCCTAGGGGGTGACTGTGATACTTAAAATATTAACGCGTGACTCAGTGAAAGAATGAAGGTCACCATGCTCATCCCTGGGACAAGCCTTCAGGGTCCGGCATCTCAGGTTGCACATCCATAAATCAGGAAATCGGACGCCTGCAGCCCACACAGCCAGAGTTCAGCCCATGGCCCTCTCCTCCGGGAAGCCTTCCCAGACTCCGCAGGGGCACGACACGGAGTGTCCATCCTCCCACACCATTGCCCACACTGGGTAACAACTTTAATCTTTGCCAATCAGACCGGTAGAAGGTAAATCTCATGTTTTATATTTTACTAGTGACCCGGTACACGGATTAGTGCACACTGAAAGGAAATGATTTAGAAGATGGCCGGCGGGGCGGGACTGGGCGAGACAGGCCAGATGCGCTGGAGCCAACCTCCTGCAGCCCCTCCCCAGCCGGCCCCACCTGGGGCGGCGCCGGGGCCACGGCTCAAAGGGCGTCTGCGGAGTGAGCGGGGTCCCTCCGGTAGGTGGGGTCTTGCAGCCTGGTGGAATCTCGTGGGCCCGTCTAGAAATTGGGCTCCCTCCCCTCTGGTTCAGGGGTGCGTCACCGAGAACCACCGCTGCCAAGTCACCGCAGCTCAGCGGCTCCTGTGTTAAGCGCCTGCCCCCTGGTGGTCAGTGTGCATCATACCTACCGGCAGGTTGGCCTGTCGCTTAGCCTTTTATATATATAATTAATAAGTAAGTTTGTCACTGGTCTAGTCATAGCTTTTATTAGTTTATAAAACTCTTAATATTAAGGATAGTCTATTGGTGATATGGTTTTTCTTAGTTCTTTATCTTTCTACATTAATATGTTCTACATTGATATGTTTTTAATTTTCAGCAGGAACTCAGTCCACCAGTCTTTCCTCGTGGCTCAGTCTGGCTTAGACTGGCCGTCCTCAGCCATTCGTTCACTCCACAGCACTTCTTGGGAAAACGCTCCACTGGGTTGTTTTGCTGTTGTTGTGTTTGTACATGTACATCTTAACCTAAGCTTCATTCTACGTCAGGTAAAGGGGGGATCTACTTAGTTTTTCCCAAATGCATAGCAACTAACCCAACATTCATTTTCTTCTTTTGTATTTCTTAATTGCTTATTTAACAAGAACCTACTCCTAAGCTCACAAATGCAGCTTCAGGTTCAGGAACACGGGTCAGTGACAAAGTTTCCATGGTTTCAACCCAAAGACATTCTTTACATCCAAGGTCACTCTGCCCTCAGAAAGCGTCCCGCCTCCTCAGCCTCCCACGGAATCATACTTTCTGCGGAAGAATGTGGAGCACTTCCCCCTTTTGCGTGTCCTCCATGTGCAGGGGCCGTGCTAATCTTCTCTGTATCGTTCCAATTTTAGTACATGTGCTGCCGAAGCGAGCACCCAACACCCATTTATTTTCATTTTTTATTTTTCTTAATTTTTTAAAATACATTTTTATTGATTTCAGAGAAGAAGGGAGAGGGAGACAGAGATAGAAACATCAATGATGAGAGAGAATCATTGATCAGCTGCCTCCTGCACGCCCCACACTGTGGATCGAACCTGGGACCCTTCAGTCCACAGGTTGACACTCTATCCACTGAGCCAAACCAGCTAGGCCATCCAATACCCATTAAAAAAATGTTTTTATTGATTTGAGAAAAAAAAAAATCAACGTGAGAAACATCTATCGGCTGCCTCCTGCACACCCCCCGCTGAGGATCGAGCCCACAACCCGGGCTTGTGCCCTGACCAGGAACAGGATGCCGCTCAGCCCGAGCCCCACCGGCCAGGGCCCGACACCCATGTCCATCTCTCCTCAGGCTGCGATGCCTCTGCATCATATACAACGTCTCATAGACACCAGGGCCTGTTTCCAGGTCAGATGTTACAGAACCTTCTGCAGTGATGGGAGTGTTCTAGCCTGTGTCAGCCGATGCAGTAACCACTGGCCACATGTGGCTACGGAACCCATGCAATATGGCTAGTGAGACTGGAAAAGCAAGTTTTACATTTTGATCTTGATTAATTTAAATGTGAATGGCCACATGTTCTAGCATGTTCCAGCACAGTCTAGACCAGTGGTTCTCAACCTTCTGGCCCTTTAAATACAGTTCCTCATGTTGTGACCCAACCATAAAATTATTTTCGTTGCTACTTCATAACTGTCATGTTGCTACTGTTATGAATCGTAATGTAAATAGCTGATATGCAGGATGGTCTTAGGCGACCCCTGTGAAAGGGTCGTTCGACCGCCAAAGGGGTCGCGACTCACAGGTTGAGAACCGCTGGTCTAGACGTTCGTTGTTACCCAGAAATGCAGTAGGACCAGAGAGCCCAGGTCTCACGTGTGGCTCTAGAGCCGCGGTTCCACCAGGTGCCTTTACAGTGCGATGTCACATCCTGTGCTAAGTTCCGCCTGTTCTCTTCCTTTTCAGAACTCCCTTGGCTGCGCATGTACCCGTCTCCCTGACCACTCTGCACTGCTGTCATGTGAAAGGGGGGAGTATTACTTTATAAGGAACCGGCACCTTTAGAATCTCAGCCCCACTGCTCTTCACTCTCCCTAACGTCCCAGCTTTTTGTTTTTATCCTCCCCTGAGGACATTTTTCCCATTGATTTTTTTAGAGGGAGTGGAGGGGAGGGAGGAGTGGGAAAGAGAGAGAAACATCCATGCGAGAGAGCCACAATGACTGCTCGGGCACGTGCCCTGACTGGGGCCGGGGATCGAGCCTGCACCTGAGGCACATGCCCTGACCAGGAATCGAATCCTCTACCCTCAGGCCATGGGCTGACGCTCTAACCACTGACCCACCGGCCAGGCTAATGTCCTTCTGAAAGGCGTGTTCCCTTAGGTGGGGCTTGGAGCAGAGCCCCGTGTCCTCCCCCTCAGGAGAGAGCGGAGGAGTGGCAAGACCCGGATGGGCAAAGTGGCCATTCCCACTCGGCATGGCCTATGAGCCCCTGGGTCCCGGGGACCCTCCTGGGGGCTGTGAGGTCAGACGATTTTCATCTGATACGAGGACTTGATGGGCATTTTCCACTCGTTCCCCGAGGAAGGTCATCGTGACCTGAGCCACCACACCGAGAGCAGAAACAGGCATGGAGCCAGACATTACAAAGGCTTCCCAGATGTAAAACAAAACGACGTTCTCAAAAATACGGCTATTTTCCATAAAATATGCTTGGGTCCCAGTGATTTTTCATAAAATACCCTGGCTCCACCACTTCCTGTAACACATGGGCACACCCTCTCTGGGTCTCCATGTCCAGAGCGTCGAGGTAGGGCAAGCGCACCGCCCTGGCTATCGGGCTAACAGGCGCGGGGTGCCCCGCTGGGGGGCAGAGGGCGGATGGCCTCCAGAGACTCACCCAGCACGGACAAGTGCAGCTGCTGCTGGCCCTCCTGCCGCCCCCCCCCCGCCCCCGCATTCTGGCTCTTTCCACCCACCCCGGGCCCCGTGAAGGCCACCCTGGTTGGCCACAGGGCGATTTCCTGTAACTGTGCAGGGTCCAAGGACCTTAGGCCAGTCTCCATCCCCCCGGCTCAGTTTCCTCACAGACGATGGTGCAGAGACTGGGCCAGACACAGCCCGCACCTGGCACGGCCTCCACACGGTGGGAAGGGATGTCTCATCTCGGCCTCCCCATACGGGGACGTCACTATAAAACCCACATCATCAGCCATGAAACAAACACTGAACCAGGAAGGACTTGTGATGACCTTGCTCATTCCAGCTGAGGGGTCAAAGCACAGAGAGGGAAAGTGACTTGTCCAAGGCCACACAGCGGCCAGGGTGGGCAGGCAGCAGGCGCGGGGAGGACAGGCACTCAGGAGTGAGAGACCAGGTCCCAACCCTGCCCGACACCCCAGCTCAGGGCCCTGGTGCAGGGGGACTCAGCACTTCTCCTGTGACACGGCCCGTCTCCAGGCCCCCCCCAGCCCCGGCCAGCATCTGCCCACTTCACTGGGGGGTTCAGAGCTCTGCTCACGGAGGGAGCTCTGAGGTTCGGAGGAGCTAGTCTCGGGTGGGGGTGCTCCAGGTGCCTGATGCCTCTCCAACCCCCAAGTGTCAGGCCAGACACGGGGCTCTGGGCTGAAAAGCCCCACCCCCACCCGCTGCTGCAAAGGGTGCCGGGCACACGCGCTCAGAGCACCCCTGTTAGCTGCCCCGAGCACCTCACAGACCATGTCCCGCCAGGCCCTGCGCCCCTCAGCAGGGCCGGGTCTGCACCTCGGGACGCCCACTGACCTGGTTGGCAAAGAGCAGGTGGCACACGGTGTGGTCGTCCGGGTCCTTCATGATGGCGCGGATCACCTGCAGCATCGGGGTGATACCTGCGAAACGGCAGCCCCACAGGCTGGGTGAGCCCCGGCTGTACACACAGGCCAGGTGTCGCACAGGCGCCAGGGGAGGTGCCAGGACCTCGGGCAGCTCACAGCTGCTCACATCTGTGCGCCCCACACCCTGACCCCACGCACAGCATCCACGCGCTGGGGACTCCGAGAGGGGCTCCGGGACCACACACCTGTCCCGCCCGCGATCATGCCCACACACTTCACCGTCTTGATGACTGGGTTGGATTTCTTGTCCGGACGGATGGCGAACTTTCCTGGGGAGAGGAGAAAGGGTGAGGCCCGCTCTCCAACACGCTGTGTCTGGGGGTCGGATGGGCTGGAGAACCTGCCCACTTGGGGGTCCGAGGCGCAGGCACCCACCATCCAACGCCAGCCAGGTAGGGGGAGGGAGGGGCAGTGGGACACAGGACCAACTCGATGCCAGAGGAGCCCAGCATGGCTCCCTCGTGCGGACGGCGTGGGGAGCAGACGGCCTGGGGAGCAACAGCGGCTGGCGCCCGGAGGCTTCCGGCACAACCTCCCGCTTGTTTTCAGCCAAACGAGGCTGGTCTGTGGGCTGGATGAGGCCTCCAAGGGCAGCAGCTGCAACCCCTGCGCTGGCCCACTTATCCCCTGTACAGCTGGGGAAACTGAGGCCCCGCAGAGGAGACAGCTTGTCCAACAAGAGTCACCCAGAAGCAGCAGTCAGGCCCTGCACGTCCTCGGGGGCTCCAGCCCGCTCACCTTTGCCCTGGTAGACCAGCAGCCCGTTCGGGCCCCGGAACTCGATGGTGTCCCCGATCTTCATGCCTTCCAGGTACTGGGACATCTTCCCTCCGCTGGGGAACTTGGGGTGGGTGTCTTTGAAGTAAACCTGCAAGACACACCCCCACAGGCCTCACTCCCATTCCCCGGGTTGCCTCATGGGAAGTGACTCTGAGGGGTCCTCTGCAGCCTGGGGGTGCCCTCAGAGCGCCCCACCCACCCATCAAAAGGCACCGGCTGTGCCCGGACCCCCAGGAGCCTGCCCTTCCCCAACGTGTCCTTGGAAGGCAAAGCGTCAGCCTGGTGGACACAGGCAGCCGACCCCATGGCTTCATCTGACGTATTGACGTTCCTCCAAGAACTTCTCCGTGACCTTCCGACGAGACGCCGAGGCTGTCAGCTCAGTAAAGGCCAGCGGCTGCGGCTGCAGGAGGTGGGCCAGCCACGCCCTCCGTGCTGTGCAGCTCTCCCATCCTCCGCTGCCATAAAAGCCTCACCCTCAGAACAACTTCCTGCCCTGCGCCCCCTGGGGCTCCAGCTTTGGAAAAAGGAAGCAACACAACCCTCAGATAAAGAGACGGAGACAGGCGCACTTGCCTGCCCGCATGGGGCATGTTCCCCGGGCCTTGAAGGGCAAGCCAGAGTGATGGGCAGACAGAAAGGCGGCTGGGGAGGGAGGGAGTGCAACAGCCAGGCGCCTGCCAGGGCTGGGACTCAGGGAGGGAGAGGAGCTCGATGGCTACAACACAGGGGCGGTGTGTGGAGGGTGTGGGGGGACAGGGAGTGCAGGGAGAGGGAAGGGCGGTCAGGGCACGCTGTGTGCCAGGCCAGGACTGTGACCTCTATCCTGGGCCAATGGCGGCCAGCGTGGCCCCCCAGCCAGGAGGGGCCTGGTCAGCGTGAGTTTTTTATCCTCTACTTGAACCCCCCACACCTCCGGAGTGGTTTCAGCGAGGACAGATGCTCGAACCCTCACCCCTTCCCTCTGCTTCTGCACGAAGCCCCAGACCTTACCAGCACCTCCCAGGCCCCGCCTGCCCTGCTGACCCATCGGACCTGATCCACTGCCCTTTGGGGCCTTAGCCCTTGTGCTTCCTCCTGACCTCAGGGCCTTTGCACCTGAAGGCCCTTCTCCTCTTCAGCTGTCGCTGCCTCCTCGCCGCCAGATCGCACTCGCTGCCGCCCGCTCAGGAGCAGCTCTCACCCACCCCTGCCCTGTGTCGCCCCACTCTGCAGCTCCCCAGGCCACGCCCGTGTGCCCTCACACCGCACCCCGCGAGTGTGCGCAATGTTTCCCAGGGAACAGTGCCCAGAAAGGGACCCGCTGGCCACGGAGCTCATGTGGCTGAACGCAGTGCAGGGGAAAGCGAGCTGGGCCAGCGGCTCGGCCCGCCTGGTCCCTCTTCTGCAGATGAGCTGTCCCTGTGTGAGGACCCGAGCCCGGCCCTGCCCTCTGCCCAGACCCCACGCGTGGCCGTTGCTTGTCGGGCACATTTGTTCTGCACTCAGAACCAGGCGCAGGAGGCACCAGGCCCGCAGAGACCAGGCTCGGGGGACATGGGTCCCCGGAGGCCTCGGCTATGATGTGGTCACCCCCACACCTGTCTCCGCGTGGTGTGGCCCCCAGACCTCACCTTGATGACCAGGTCCACGAAGCCCTTGTCGTCGTCACTGGAGACGGGCGTGTAGGGCCGAATGACCAGGTTTCCATCGATCCGAGCCGAGAGGTAGATGTGCTGGCCTGCAGGATGGGCAGCGGTGACCTGGGTCAGGGACTATCCCTGCAGGACCGCTGGGCCTTGTCAACCAACCGCCCGGTGCCCACCCCGCATTCAAACCGGCCCTTGCTCGGCTCCCACTGCCGCCTCAGGGAAGCCCAGCTTCCCGCCACCAGCCTCTGCTTGTGCTGAAGCCACTGCCAGGGCCACCGGGGTAACTCCTCTCTCGTTCTGACACTTACTCTTAAGGCCTGTGGCAGCTGTCACCTCCTCCTTGAAGCCCTCCCTCATTGACGTGCAAAGTCCCCCCCTCTGACCTAGCACCCGCCTCCGTCAGAGCTGGGTGGGGCCACACTCACCAATAGGGAGGCCCAGGACATGCTGGGGTGACGGCAGGGCAAAGCGGAACCGCCGGGTGTCGTGGTTGATGATCTGCAAAGAGGCCGAGCTGTGGGGTGGCGCCCAGGGCAGAGCGACCGCCAGACCTCAGAGCCCCCCTCCTCGCCAGTGCCCCCAAGTCACTGAGGGGAGTGACACCGATGTCGCGTGCAGACCGTGTGTGAGGGCACAGAGGTCGGGCACACATGGGTGAGCCTCTGTTCTCGCTGGCCCTGGGAAGGGCAGTCACTGCCCAGGGCCCAGAGCAAGCCTGTCAGAGCGGGAGGGGAATTCAGGGTCCCAAAGGGAGGCTGCAATGGCTCAGAAAGTTCCAGGGGGCTGCCCTGCACCTGGTGCAGCCAGGAGGGTGGTGTGGCGCGGCGGCTGGGAAGGCAGCTGCGTGTCCAGCACGTGTTCACAGGAGGCTGGTGACATGGCCAGGTCCACCCACAGGCAGTGTTCTCACCGGGCGGGGTGGGCACAGACTCCTCAGAGGGACAGAGCAGCTCTGAGCACCACTGGAGCGTGCGAGCGAGGCAGGTGGTCTGGGTCTCAGGAAAGATGGCTCCCGGCCCCGCTCAGGGCATGGGGCTGCTGGTGGCTGGTGCGTCTACCCCAGCAGCCCAGGCCTGCAGCTGCCTTCCCAGAAGCCTTTGCCCTCTGGGCAACGGAGCCCCAAGGCCTCCTGGGAGCAGATTCCAGAATTACTGACTGGTCCTGAGGCTCACGGCCAGAAACACACACACCAGACAATTTTGGAGGAAGAACGGAAATGAGAGGCAGCGATAATTACTGTGCTGGGCACCCTCTCTCAGGGCCCCGCGGTCAGGCCAGATCTGCACGGCTCAGCATGGGGCCGGCACCAGGAGGCTGCTGGCCGCCATGATCTGAGAGCAGACCCAGCGCCTCGGGGACCTTCGGGTCACCTGTCAGGTCCAGTTCAGAGAGAAGGGCAGCAGCAGGCCCTTCCCCGGGCCCGTGGGGAGGACAGCAGAAGTGTCAAAAGCAGGACCCCTGCTGACTGTGCAAAGCCATCAGGCTACTGCTCGGACATCTGCTACCTGCTCATCGAAGGGGACTGGAGGTCTGCGGTGTGACATCCCTATGAACATATACTAGACCAGTGATGGCGAACCTATGACACGCGTGTCAGAGGTGACACGCGTGTCAGAGGTGACACGCGTGTCAGAGGTGACACGCGTGTCAGAGGTGACACGCGTGTCAGAGGTGACACGCGTGTCAGAGGTGACACGCGTGTCAGAGGTGACACGCGTGTCAGAGGTGACACGCGTGTCAGAGGTGACACGCGTGTCAGAGGTGACACGCGTGTCAGAGGTGACACGCGTGTCAGAGGTGACACGCGAACTCATTTTTTTGGTTGATTTTTCTTTGTTAAATGGCATTTAAATATATAAAATAAATATCAAAAATATAAGTCTTTGTTTTACTATGGTTGCAAATATCAAAAAATTTCTATATGTGACATGGCACCAGAGTTAAGTTAGGGTTTTTCAAAATGCTGACACGCGGAGCTCAAAAGGTTCGCCATCACTGTACTAGACAGTCGTCAAAAATAAGGAATCAGTCCGGACAGCGTGGCTCAGTTGTGGAGCATCAACCTATGAACCAGGAGGTCACGGTTCAATTCTCAGTCAGGCCACAGGCCCGGATTGCGGGCTCAATCCCCAGTGTGGGGCCTGCAGGAGACAGCGACAGCAGAAGTGTCAAAAGCAGGACCCCTGCTGACTGTGCAAAGCCATCAGGCTACTGCTCGGACATCTGCTACCTGCTCATCGAAGGGGACTGGAGGTCTGCGGTGTGACATCCCTATGAACATATACTAGACCAGTGATGGCGAACCTATGACACGCGTGTCAGAGGTGACACGCGTGTCAGAGGTGACACGCGAACTCATTTTTTTGGTTGATTTTTCTTTGTTAAATGGCATTTAAATATATAAAATAAATATCAAAAATATAAGTCTTTGTTTTACTATGGTTGCAAATATCAAAAAATTTCTATATGTGACATGGCACCAGAGTTAAGTTAGGGTTTTTCAAAATGCTGACACGCGGAGCTCAAAAGGTTCGCCATCACTGTACTAGACAGTCGTCAAAAATAAGGAATCAGTCCGGACAGCGTGGCTCAGTTGTCGAGCATCAACCTATGAACCAGGAGGTCACGGTTTCAATTCTCATCAGGCCACAGGCCCGGATTGCGGGCTCAATCCCCAGTGTGGGGCCTGCAGGAGACAGCCGATCAATGATTCTCATCATTGATGTTTCTATCTTTCTCTCCCTCTCCCTTCCTCGATGAAGTCAATAAAAATATATTTTTTAAAAAGAAGGAATCAGCTTTGGGATAGACATGGAAAACTGTCCATGTTCTATGGCTGGGTGAAAAAAAGGCTATTAAAATTCAGTGTATGCACCCCTGGACCTCCACCACCAGGTGTATACAGACGTGATGCCTGAGAAGGCTCAGGCTGACGGCAATGGGACCCACTGCACAGTGTGGGGTTGGGGGGGGGCTGGTGAGTGGGACCCACTGCACAGTGTGGGGTTGGAGGGCTGGTGAATGGGACCCACTGCACAGTGTGGGGTTGGAGGGGGGCTGGTGAATGGGACCCACTGCACAGTGTGGGGTTGGAGGGGGGCTGGTGAATGGGACCCACTGCACAGTGTGGGGTTGGAGGGGGGCTGGTGAATGGGACCCACTGCACAGTGTGGGGTTGGAGGGGGGCTGGTGAATGGGACCCACTGCACAGTGTGGGGTTGGAGGGGGGCTGGTGAATGGGACCCACTGCACAGTGTGGGGTTGGAGGGGGGCTGGTGAATGGGACCCACTGCACAGTGTGGGGTTGGAGGGGGGCTGGTGAATGGGACCCACTGCACAGTGTGGGGTTGGAGGGGGGCTGGTGAATGGGACCCACTGCACAGTGTGGGGTTGGAGGGGGGCTGGTGAATGGGACCCACTGCACAGTGTGGGGTTGGAGGGGGGCTGGTGAATGGGACCCACTGCACAGTGTGGGGTTGGAGGGGGGCTGGTGAATGGGACCCACTGCACAGTGTGGGGTTGGAGGGGGGCTGGTGAATGGGACCCACTGCACAGTGTGGGGTTGGAGGGGGGCTGGTGAATGGGACCCACTGCACAGTGTGGGGTTGGAGGGGGGCTGGTGAATGGGACCCACTGCACAGTGTGGGGTTGGAGGGGGGCTGGTGAATGGGACCCACTGCACAGTGTGGGGTTGGAGGGGGGCTGGTGAATGGGACCCACTGCACAGTGTGGGGTTGGAGGGGGGCTGGTGAATGGGACCCACTGCACAGTGTGGGGTTGGAGGGGGGCTGGTGAATGGGACCCACTGCACAGTGTGGGGTTGGAGGGGGGCTGGTGAATGGGACCCACTGCACAGTGTGGGGTTGGAGGGGGGCTGGTGAATGGGACCCACTGCACAGTGTGGGGTTGGAGGGGGGCTGGTGAATGGGACCCACTGCACAGTGTGGGGTTGGAGGGGGGCTGGTGAATGGGACCCACTGCACAGTGTGGGGTTGGAGGGGGGCTGGTGAATGGGACCCACTGCACAGTGTGGGGTTGGAGGGGGGCTGGTGAATGGGACCCACTGCACAGTGTGGGGTTGGAGGGGGGCTGGTGAATGGGACCCACTGCACAGTGTGGGGTTGGAGGGGGGCTGGTGAATGGGACCCACTGCACAGTGTGGGGTTGGAGGGGGGCTGGTGAATGGGACCCACTGCACAGTGTGGGGTTGGAGGGGGGCTGGTGAATGGGACCCACTGCACAGTGTGGGGTTGGAGGGGGGCTGGTGAATGGGACCCACTGCACAGTGTGGGGTTGGAGGGGGGCTGGTGAATGGGACCCACTGCACAGTGTGGGGTTGGAGGGGGGCTGGTGAATGGGACCCACTGCACAGTGTGGGGTTGGGAGGGATCACTCACATTTCACACACAGAATTTTTATAGTGAGCACATATAAATCATACATTACTTCTGGAATTAAAAAGCAAGGAAAATGAATTTTAAGAAATGAAGATTAAGAAAGGAATGGATTTCAAAACCTTATGATTTCATTTGAGTAAGAAGACAGTGTGTATGAAACATCAGGAAGAACAGTGTGGTCTCACTGGGAGGATGGCCTTCCCTCTCTGGTTAATCTCTTCTATGGACTCGGACACAATCACTCCCACCTCCCACCAGTCGCAGGGAGCCAGGCTCTGTGCCGGGAGAGCTGAGACTCGAGGAGCTCGGGGGAGGTGACTTTCTGTGCTCCATGACTCAGTTCCCCCTGTGACCAGAAATAGCTCCGGGGAGGGACTTGGATCGGGGAAGAGTAAGGGGCACAGGGCAAAGGAGGGAGGGACGGTTTTAAGTCAGGAGCAGAAGTAAACGAGGGCAGGAGCAAGCCTCTCGGAGGGGCGGGCGGGTGGGGCGGGTGGAGCCGCGGAGGTCAGGGTCACACAGGGAGTCTGCGCAGAGGGAACAGCCCCGGGTAGAGACCCTGGGGGGGCGGGGAAGGAGGAGGAGGGAGGAGCCCTTGTCTTCAAGGAAGAGGCACTGGGATTGGAAGCACCTGGGACCACCCAGAGGCCACAGCCTGAGTCCTGGCCCCACCTCTAGCTGACAGCGTGACCTAAATGCCCTCCACTCCTCTCTGGACCTTCTGTAGGACAGTGAGTGTGGTTCAGAGAACGTGCTCTGTGGCCAGAGACCTGGGTTCAAATCCCTCTGCACTTACTGGTAACCATAGAAACTGACATCACCTTGCTTTCCCCACCTGTTAAATGGGCAGATAGCAGGACCTGTGCTTCAGAGGGGGCCGTGTCCTGAGCACAGAGCAGGCGCCGGGGAAATGCTGTGATGCTGACAAGGGGAGAGATGCCTCTGGGGGCCGCGCCCTGTGACCCCGCAGGGCCGGCACTCACCTCCTTGTCGATGAGCCGCAGCGGGTACTTGATGTCCGGGCTCTCGAGGGTGATGGCCGGGGTGGAGCGCTGGAACAGCTTCATGAGCAGGTTGTAGAGGAACCAGACTGGGGAGAGGACCACGTGGCCCAACTGAAAGGACAGGGACAGACCCACAGGTCAGTGCAGGCACGGGGCGGGGCTGTCACCTGCCCTTCCCGCCAACACCAGCTGGATCCCTCTGTCAGGAATTCCCTTTCCTCACCTTCTGCACCCAGGGAACCCCAGCGTGCATTCTGGTGCCGCCTGGGAGCAGTTACAAAAACCGGACTCCTGGAACCCATCAGGGCAGTACTGAGTCACTGGAAACCTCCCTTTGCCCCGAGGAACAGGGATGAAGAAAGCTACATGACGGAGCATGCCTCCCTTTTCACTCTGGCTGCCAGGAAGCTCGGAGTTAAGTTCCCAAGTAACCGTGCTTACTCTTGAGCGCTGTGTATTTGTGCTCCCTCCCTCCCTCCCTTTCTTCCTTCAGCCACCTTCCCTCCATCTAGACAAGCAGACAAACCCCTGAGCCCTGGGGCTCTGCCTTCAGGTGTGAGGGGCGGCTAAGGCACTGAGCTGGGCTCTAGGAAGCTCTGGTCCTTGTGGCTGTGTGACCCTGGGCAAGTCCCTTCCCCTCTCTGAACCGAACTGGGCCAGCCATCTGCAGGGTTCTGGAAGCTCTGAGAGGTCCCTGCTCAGCACCATGCTGGGCCCCGCACAGGCGTGAAGCTCCTGACAACCCTATGAGGTTGGTACTGTCATCACCACCATTTACAAATGAGGAGAAAGCTCAGAGAGGTGAAGCAACTCGCCCACTGACCTGAGTCCACCTGTCTCCCCAATCACACACTTAAACCTCAGGCCCACACTCGCCCCCTTGCGTGGCCCTGAGCCTCCTCCTGCCGCCTCCCCCCCCCCACCACACACACACATCTCAGTCTCACAAAGACACTAAGGGGTGCTTTGGATTTTTTTTAAAACAGAGAAAACCCAAAACCCATGGCAGGATAGCTCATTGCTCAGTTTACCCAGAGAGGACAGACGCCTTGGCAAAGACAGACAACAGGCCTCCTGCCCTTTCTGGCTGTTTTCGTCCCTGGGCAGATCACTCAGCCTCTCTGAGCTGTTTCTCCATCTGTGAAATGGGGATCATAAGCCATACTCCCAGGCTGTGAAGATGGAAATAAGCCATGGAAAGTGTCTAACCCCGGCCAGGTCCCCGGCAGGCCCGAGCCCACAGGGCATCCGCTGTGCCGCAGCGACCCCTTGGCCATCCGGAAGCTGGGTCCTGAGCAGCCTCCGCTATCTGGGCACAGGAAAGGGGCGGGATGTCAGGAGCCTCCTGACGCCACTTAAGGGCCCACCACTGCCCTGAGAGCTCCCTCTCTCCAACCACGAGGAAACGCTGAGGGCCGTTCTCCAGAATAAGTGGCCACAACTTCAAAATGTCAATGCCCCAAACAAAGAACGTCTGAGAAGCTGGTCCAGCTTAGAGGAGGCTCTGGTAGGCTGAGTGTGGCCCCAGAAGAGACGTCCACCCGGAACCTGGGAATGTGACATCTGGGAAAAGGGCCTTTCACATGTAATTAAACTAAGGATCTTGAGATGAGATCATCTTGGATCATCCCAGGGGCCCTAAGTCCCATGACAACCTTCCTTATGAGAGAGAAGGAGCCTCAGAGACGGCCATGTGAAGTGATGGGGCCACAAGCCAAGGAAACCGAGGATGGCCAACAGCCATGAGGAGAAGCAGGAAGAGGCGGGAAGGGCTCCCCTCGACCTCCAGAGTGCGGCCCTCCCACACTCGATATCAGACTGTGGCCCAGAACTGTGAGAGAATACATTTCTGCTGTTTCATGCCACCCTGTTTGTGGCAATCTTCACGAAGCCCTAGGACACTAATACTGAGGCCAAGAGACAGAACAACTGAATGCAATGTGCAGTCTTGGATTATCAGTGATGGCGAACCTTTTGAGCTCGGCGTGTCAGCATTTTGAAAAACCCTAACTTAACTCTGGTGCCGTGTCACATATAGAAATTTTTTGATATTTGCAACCATAGTAAAACAAAGATTTATATTTTTGATATTTATTTTATATATTTAAATGCCATTTAGCAAAAAAAAATGAGTTCGCGTGTCAGAGGTTCGCCATCACTGGATTAGATCATGGCCTGGGGAAAAAAATAGTTATGAAGGGCAATCCTGAGACAATGGTGATATATGAATTCGGGCCCATGGATCACACAATAGTGTTGTATCCATGTTACTTCCATAATTTGCTCACTACCATGCGGTAGGCAAAAGAATGTCCTTCTTTTTAGGAGAAAGTATTTAGGGGCAAAGAGCATCATATCTATGACACTCGAGTAGTTAAAAAATATATACACACACAGTAAAGCAAATGTTAACATTTGGTACATCTGCAGGAAGAGTATACAAGTGCCCTTTAGACAGTCTTGCAACTTTACTGTCAGCTTGAAATTATTTCAAAATAAAAAGTGGGGCATGGTGTAGGGGAGCCCACGCTGGTGGTTCAAACAGGGAGGCTGAGACCCAAAAGTTCACACAAAACACTGGCTCTCAAGAAAGCTGTGTCAGCCCTGGCCGGGAGTTCAGTTGGGTAGAGCATCATCCCGATACACCAAGATTTCAGTCACGCACATATGAGAATCAACCAATGAATGCATAAATAAGTGGAACAACAAATCGATATTTCTCTCAAAGCAATCCTATATAACAGTGGTTCTCAACCTTCTGGCCCTTTAAATACAGGTCCTCATGTTGTGACCCAACCATAAAATTATTTTTGTTGCTACTTCATAACTATAATGTTGCTACTGTTATGAATCATAATGTAAATATCTCATATGCAGGATGGTCTTAGGCGACCCCTGTGAAAGGGTCGTTTGACCCCCAAAGGGGTCGCGACCCACAGGTTGAGAACCGCTGCTATATAATAAAAGCCTTGCCCTAGTCTCTTTGGCTCGGTGGACGGAGTGTTGGCCTGCAGACTTAAGGGTCCCAGGTTCGATTCTGGTCAAGGGCACATGCCCGGGCTGTGGGCTCAATCCGCAGTGGGGGGCGTGCAGGAGGCAGCCGATCAATGATTCTCTCTCATTGATGTTTCTATCTCTCTCTCTCCCTTCCTCTCTGAAATCAATAAAAAATATATAAAAATAAATAAAAATAAAAGCCTAATATGCTAAGTGTCCGGTCGTCCATTCAAACAATCAAAGCATAATATGCTAATGATATGCTAAGGCCACTCAACTGCTAGCTATGACGTGCACTAACCACCAGGGGGCAGGCGCTCCGACTGGTAGGTCAGCTTACTGCTGGGGTCCAGCCGATTGGGGGATTGGGGACTGAGCGAGATGGGCCAGACACACCCTGGAGCTTCCAGCAGTCCCTCCCTGGCTGGCCAACCTCCCGCATCCCTCCCTGCCCCTGATTGCACTGGTGGGGTCCCTTGGCCTGGCCTGCGCCCTCTTACAATCCAGGACCCCTCAGGGGGTGTCCGAGAGCCAGTTTTAGCCCATCCCACAGGCCAGGCCGAGGGACCCCACTGGTGCACGAATTCGTGCACCGGGCCTCAAGTCAATAAATAAAAGCTAAAAAAAAAGTTGTTTCACAGCCTGTTCACTCACTCTCCCTAGGAAACCTCCCTGACTTTAGTTCTCTCAGCAAATGGCTGTGTGTGTTCTTATCATAATACTACAGGTTCCCCTTTTTGCCTTGGCTGCCAGGAAGCTTAGACCCAAGTTCCTTGCTTCCATGGAGGCCTCTCTGCTTCCTTTGTGGGACTCCTGAGGTGTCATATTATTTTTTTAAATATATTTTTACTGATTTCAGAGAGAAAGGAACAGGGAGAGAGAGAAATATCAATGATGAGAGAGAATCATGGATCAGCTGCCTCCTGCACACCCCCTACTGCGGACAGAGCCCACAACCTGGGCATGTGCCCTTGACTGGAATCGAACCTGGGACCCTTCAGTCCGCAGGCCGACGCTCTATCCTCTGAGCCACACCAGCCAGGGTGAGGTATCGTATTCTGCAGAGCACAGATCTAGAAGTGGCCCCTGCCCTATTGAGGGCTGGGTGAGATGACCTTCACCTCTCAAGGCCAAGCCCTACTGCTCCCCACTTCCTGGAAACTCCCCCCACGCCCATCAACCTGGGAGGCTCTCTGAGCCTTGGCCGGCGTTCTCTTCTATAGAAGAGGAGAGCCATTGCCCTGCCCACCTCCTAGGGCAGTGGTCGGCAAACTGCGGCTCGCGAGCCACATGCGGCTCTTTGGCCCCTTGAGTGTGGCTCTTCCTAAGCCTTAGGAGTACCCTAATTAAGTTAATAACAATGTACCTACCTATATAGTTTAAGTTTAAAAAATTTGGCTCTCAAAAGAAATTTCAATCGTTGTACTGTTGATATTTGGCTCTGTTGACTAATGAGTTTGCCGACCACTGCCCTAGGGGATCTGGGATATGAGATGAGATGAGGGTGGCACAGGTCACGGAGCCGTCCATAACCTGAGAATTGTGGGTACACAGAGGAGCTTTTCCTGCCACCCTCATGGGGCCACTGCCCCTGGGAGTTGGAATACCCAAGCGAAGGAAGGGCAGAGGCTCCAGATCCCACACCAGGCCTGGCCCTGCCTCCCAAACCGGCGCAGCAGCTTCAAGCTGCCCGGCTGCCGCTGGGTTACAGCCCTTTGTTGTGTGTCTCTCCCAGGCAGGGCCTCCAGGCTGGGGCAGCAGGCCTTGCCCCAGGGGGCCCCTGGCCTGTGACCGAAGGGTCTAAAGGGAAGGCCTGCAGGGGCCGGGCCAGACCACCCCCTGCCCAGGGCCACCTGCCCATTTAACTAGCACCTACCGTGTTCTGGGAACATGGGCATTTCCCCCCTCCCGGGTCTCATTTATGGCCCTGGCTGGCAGCCCTGGACTCGGGTCCAGAGACCAGGGTTCGAGGCCCAGCTCAGGACTTCAGGAGAGAGTCCCCACCTTTCTCAAATGCATGAGGGTGGTCCCTTTCATGGCCAGGGAGGAAATGAGGCAGGAAAGGCTGTCACTGCTTCAGGTACGGGACCTGAGTTCCCTGGGATAATCCTCCATCCAGCCCTCGGCCTCAGGTGCTGGCAGGAAACTGAGGCCCAGAGAGGACCAGTAACTTGCCCCAAGTCACACCAAAGCCAACCTCGGAGGCCCACACTCATGACAAGTGACACTGTTGTCGCTGCTTCTCAGAGAGATTAAGTGACTTGCCCATGGTCACGTGACAAGTCAGGGGCGGAGCCAGGATCCAAACCCAGGCCTGTCAAGCCCCAAGAATGGCTCCTCCCAAGCCGCCTCCCAGGGCAGGTGCCCTCTCTGGGCCCCAGTCACAGAGCCCAGAGCCCAGATCCCCACTGACCCCCCACAATCCGATATCCTCTCTCCACGGTGAGGCCCCAGCTGCCCAAACCAACAGGCCGCTCCACCCCCTCCTCAAACACCCACCATGGCTCCCCACTGCCTACACTCAAGGCCCCACTGATGACCACACCACCGGCCACAAGCCCTTCTTGCCTTAGGCCTTTGCATATTCTCCCTTCTGCCCAGAACACCCTTCCTCTTCCCTCAGCCAACCAGCAAACTCCTATTCACCCTTCAGAGCCCAGCTCAATGTCAAATCTTCCCTGACTGGCACTCCCTAGCTAATCAGGCCATCAGCAAACTTCCACAGCCCCGGCCTCCCTCCTGAACTCCCTGCTGGTGAGGACTATTCAGATGATTCCTCTGCCATAAGCCCCTCCCTTGTCAATCAGAAAAGCCACATCCTTGGGGAACGCTGTTTAGGGGAAAGCGGAGTTCCATTCGCAGGAAGTCGCCATTGTTGGGAGCCTGGAAATGAACCGAAATGGCCTTAGAGGCCACTGCAGCTCTGTTGGTTCTTCCAGAGTTAACCCCCCAGCACAGCTGTTTAAGCGCACAGCCAAGTTCAACAACACAAGACCCTTGGCCTGCAGCTGGCTTCAGCCTGAGAAGCACCCTCCCTTGCATTTCCTCGGTGACTCACCCTCACCGGGTGGGAGATAGGCCAACTGTGTTCTTCATTGGACAAATGGGGAAACTGAGGCTCGGGGAGGCCCAGGGAGGAGTCTGGGCTTTGGTTCCCGGTTTTCTGTCCCTCACCCCGAATCTCTCCAGCCCCAAACCCACAAACGCTCGCCTGTGGTGAGTGTGGGGCCATGAGAGAGACTCATATGTCAACAGCCCTGAAGGCAAGTCCAGAACACGGCCTCAGCCCTGGCACAGCCCTTCGAGATCCTGGACGCCAGCCCTGGGGGCAAACAGCTGGCCAGCTCCCCACCCTGGTCACAGTCAACACCAAACAGTGGAGCCCGTAGCCCAGCTCCAGGAGGGCAGGGGGTGTGGCTCACCTGTGCACCCCCAGCGCTCGGACCAGGGGCACTCGATCAGTATTTGTGGGTAAACTTGTGAAGGGACAAGTCCCACCCCCATCTCTCTCTGACTCTTTGTGTCTGGAAGTTTCAGGAACAAGGGCAAGAGGCCAGATCCCTCCCCGGCGAGGGTGGGGCATGCACGGCCCATCCTGTGTATCGTGCAGCCCACAGCCCTCCCCAGGGCACCAGGGATGGGGTCTGGGATCCCGGCTTCCTGCTGTGCCCTCACCTGTCAGGCACACCCACTTCCCAGAGGTGGCGCATTGGAGCCACTGCAGGAAGAATGCCGAATGCTCCCTGGGCGGCTGATAAATGCTGGGAGCCTTCCAGTCCCGGCTCCCAACAATAGGGGACTCCCGCAGAGCTGGGAGGCGGGGCTGTACAACCCCCATTTCAGACGAGGAATCTGAATTCCTATCTGGGGAGGCCGCTGTGGGCAGGCCCGCACTGCCGGTCAGTCCTTCAGGCCACAAACCCCAACGGGCACACCTGCAGGGCCTATGCAGGACTTGGGGGTCACAGGCCAGGGGACCCCGCCCTGAGGAGCTCAGGTCAGGGGGAGACAGACACGGCAGAGAAAAGGCGCAGTGGAGGGCAAGGGCTGTGCCTGCAGAACGTGGGACGCAGTTCCCACACTCGGGGGTGAAGCAGGCTCTGAGCCCCCTCCCTGTCTACGGCACCCTCCCACCCCTGCACCCTCCCACCCCTGCACGCAGCAGGCAGAGTAAACAGGAGGCAGATGGCGGAGCCAAGGCCTCACCCCAGCTCCTCAGCTGTGCAGCTTGTACCCATAAACATAGCCGCACTAGCGCGCGCGCGCGCACGCACACACACACACACACCACCGCGCCCCAGCCACTCCAGGGTTCTAGAAACAGCTGCCTCCAGGGCCTTGACCTGTTGCTCCGTGGTCTGTGCTCTGCCCCATGAGGGAATCCCCCATCTGCCTTTCCTCACCTCTGATGACACAGGGGGGGAGGGGTGAAGGAAACGGGGTGTCAGTCCCAGGATGTCTCCAGGGAGCCCCCAGCTCACCCACTGTAGCTGAGGGGCTGGGTTGCCTTGCTCCCCGCCACAGGGCACCATCCCAGCTGCTCACCCCCTGGCATCCCCCACTGGGACCCTGGCATCCACTCTGCCCAGGTCAGGTCTGGGTGGGCGGGGGGATGTGCCAGGACCTCCGACCCGGCAGGCCCGGCCCTCCCCACGGGCCAGCCCCCTGCGCTGAGGCTTACCTGCCTGCTGCCTGCCAGCTGTCCCACTGGGATCTGAGTGGCCACCTCCCTCCTGGTCCCCTTCTCAGGAAGTGGGAGGGGTGGAGGAAGTTCTGCAGGGGGGCGGGGGCTCCTCGCCAGCAAGTGCAGGAGAGGGAACCCAGGAGGAGGGGCAGGTGGACTGCAGAGCTGCCTTCTGCAGGGGGACCACCCGGTTTCCCAGGGGTCACAGCTGAGGCAGGGGGCTGCCAGGGACACGTGGGCTGGGCCCACTGAGCCCTTTACAGCGGCTGAGGGCAGGGGAGCCAGGCCCCTCAGGTGGCTGGTAGACTCAAGTGCCAACCCCTCGGGCTGGGCCCCCCAGAGGGGAGGCGGCCTCCCTCGGAGCCTGGAGCCTGCACATCCCAGATAAGCTGCCTGGCGCCCCAGCCCGGGCTGGCCTCCCTCAGACTGCGGGCAGCCCCTCACCGGGCGGCCCAGCTAGGTCTGCTATGGGTATTCTGGGCCGGGGGAGGGGGGGGGGGTCCTCAGCAGGGCCCGCGAGGAAGGGGCAATTCCCACCTCAGGTCTCCTGACCCCAAGACAGGACTCTGCCCCTCACTCACACGGGGGCTGCCAGGGGGCCCTGGCAGTTCAAACCACGTGTGCAACAGCCACGTGCTGGGGACACAGCGACAAACCCAACCAACCATCCACCATCCAACCAACCAACAACGCTGGGAGAAGGTGAGAACCCCGCGGGGTGGGGGCGGGAAGGCAACTTCTGGGAACATCGTCAGGAGTGAACCTGAGGCGGGGGGTGCCCACAGCTGTGCCTGGCAAGGCTGCTTCCTGGTCTGAACACCCCCAAGTCCTGGCTGGGCCCTGGCTCATGAGCAAACGCCCGGCCCTGGAGGAGGCTCCCCGCCTGAGGGAGGAGGCAAGTGCCTCCACGTCCAAGAGCTCGGGGTGGAGATGGAGGCAGAGGTGCTGGGCCTA